TAGCTAGATATTGATGTGATAACTTCAATTCAAGTGTCCCCCACCTTAAGAAACAACAAACGTGAATCAATTAATTGTAAATAAATAATGAGAAAATGAATGAATCCCTCTGTAAATCTCTTATGGACACTGATTGATCTTTTTTGACAGCTGTAACAACACTGAAGGGTCATTTATGAATGCTTTTCTGTTATGAAGTCTTTCTGGTTTGAAGAGACTTTGTTGTTTTCACAGCTCTTTGTTTCACTTTTTTGATCTGTTGTTCTGGTGTAGGCATTGCAAGAACGGATGCAAGTCAAAAAAGCTTCTGAGTTCAAAGTGATTTCATTTCCTCTTTGACACTTTGTTTCTTTATTAAATTAGACACATGGATGCATGTCAGAACAATGTGTGTATTACCTTGTTTTTTACCATACTAGCTGCTTTAATAATCTGACTCAATAGTTCTTACACATATCATTATGGAGAGAGGGTATGCACGTGTCCTTAGTAATACTCAGAAACTAGGTGTCACATGTGTAGTGTTGTACACTGTAAACAGTTCACTGTAACAAAACAAGGCCAAATGAGGTTTTAACAATTGGATTTATATGACCTGATTATACAGTGTAGTGCCGGCAGTTAAATAACTAAAAGCTGCTGGTAACTTCTCTATTGAGCTGCTATCCTTTTCATATCTGCATAATTAAAGACATCCCATCAGCCTCAGATATAGGCCTATTTTTCATTCTAATGCCAACTAGCAAATGTTAGCATACTAAGATGCTAAAGTCTCATTGTAAACATACCTGCTAAACATCAGCATGTAAGGAAATTGAGAATGTTAGCATGCTATCTAAAACAATGATGTGTAAAGTACAGCCACACAGATCTGCTAGCAAGGCTGCAGGTGTTGTTTAAAATACGGGTCAGCACTCATTCACAGTGGTTGACATGAAACTTGAAAAGATCAGATATTCACTTTTATATTCAAACAGGACATTTCAGGAAGCCTGGGAACCTTTTTTTAATGCATTCCACACTCTGTAAAACGATCTGCTATTGGTATAGCCTATCTGCAGTATCTGTAATATGTATATATGTATGTATGTATGTGTGTATGTTTACAGTAGATGTGTATGAGTATAGGTATTTGCTGCATGTTTGTGCATATGTATTACACACATATATATTCATCTAACAATGTTCCTGGTAAATAATCGTGTGTATGAGAAATCGTGTGTATGAGAAATCGTGTGTATGAGAAATCGTGTGTATGAGGCTCACTGGCAGTGAATGTAGGGGATTACTTTAGTCGTTGTTATTGTGTGTTTGTGTTCTTTCTAATTCTTTTTTCTCTTTGTACATACAATCAGTACAGACCACTGTCTCATTTGTATGCATATATTTTGCTTTCCATCTCTAAATGACAAACACTGTTTATGCATTGTCGAAACACAATAAAAATATTTTTGATCATAAAATACGTGTCAGCTACAGGGAGAAATACATTCAGCTAGGACTCTTGCACCTATAGGACACTGGTTTGAAAACTCTTTAATTATGTAAAGGTCCCCTATCATGCAAAATGCCCTTTTTGATGTATTTGATACATAAATATGTGTCCCCGGTGTGTAAGGAGACTCACAAAGTGTCAGAAAACAAAACCCTATCTCTTTTCCGCCTTACCCACATCTCTAAAAACAGGGGTACAACGGAGCTGATCCAGATTTGCTGCATCATGACGACATTACTAAAATGTGGGCTGGCTTTACACCCACGACCCTATGAGAAACTCGCTATCAGAAACAATGCCCGTCGTGTTTGGGAAGTAATATGGTCTTTGTTTACATTAGCAAGCATTGCTAACACTCAGAGCTAACGCTGTACTGGAGAGAGTATGTGTAAAGAAGCCAGATGTAAAAGGTACTGACCTTGTGGTAAACCCGCGAGAGAGAAAGAGTTTGAGCTCCATACCGTTTCAGAAATAATGCTTGATGTGGTTTGGAACATGATATGGCGTTTAATCACGGCAGCGTTTAGCTGAGTTTCTGCTGGTTGACAGCCTTCTCTTCACAGAGCTCACTGCTTGCATGCGGACGCTCCAAAGGGGCGTGGTCAGCAGCAGCTCCAAAGGGGCGTGGCCAGCAGCAGCTCGGTTACATTTAAAGGGCCAGACCCAGAATCAGCACTTTAGTAACAGGGCTGAAATAGAGGGGTATTTTGGGTGATCTGTTTTGGTATTTTGAGCAAAACACTTCAGAGACATGTTTTGTATAGATGTGGCCCTATAATATATTGTTCAAATATAGTATAATAGGTGAGTTTTAAAATATGTATGTAAAGTGGATTCACATATTTGATTTATGTCACATAAGTAGACTTAAAGTGGCCCTATCATGCTATATTTGAACAATATATTGTAGGGCCATACCTATATAAAGTATATAAATATAGTTTTTTTTTCAAACAGATCCTGCATTTTAGCCATGCCTCATTTTGCTCTATTTGCTCTTTCCAGCCCTGTTTTTGCAGGGGGCTGATTCTGTGAGCTGCAGCTGACCACGCCCCCCTGCAGGAGAGGGGAGCGTGCTTTGAGATCAGCTGCTGGGCTGTCAGAAGAGGGGGAGAAAAAGAGATCTCCGCCCTCCGTGTTTTATTCTTATATTATTATATAGAGTCATTATTCATTTGTTTTAAAGCTCAATAAATAACAAAGAAGACCTTTGACCGGCACTTTTCTAATTTTGTCCGGAAGATTTAAACTTTAACGGACATGTTGACCGGCGAAAAAAAATCTAACTGAAACTCTGCCGTACGGTCCCCTCGTCCCTTGGAAGAGGCGGAGAGGTGGGTGTTTGTCATCTGCTGGTGGACTAACCGGAGAGAATTACAGTGCTTGCCTCGACGGGGAGGGATTGCATTGAATTAAAGCAGCAGGAGCAAACGCTTGCCTCGGGGAGGGAGAAAAAGAGCCACAGCGGAGAATAAACAGAAGGGTAACCATGGTAACTATGGGCGGGAAGTCTTCTTCGCTGCTTTTGTGGCAGACTACAGCGCCACTTACAGGCCTGGCATATGCACTACAGCGTCTCCAGCGCTTTCGAGCGGCAATGGCCGGCCGTGGCCCAACCCCACATTCCCCTGATAGGTAGAGAGTTGGCCATATAGGCGGAGCTCCTCGTTCCTGACGTCAGAGAAATTTCAAATCTGGATCAGTTTTTATCAGATCCGTTGCAGCCCCGTTTTTAGAGATTTGGATATGGAGGAAAATAGAGAGGGTTGTGTTTTCTGACACTTGGTGAGTTCCCTGGAACACCGGGGACACATATTCATGTATAAAAGACGTACAAAAGTGCATTTTGCATGATAGGTCCCCTTTAACTTGCGTATGTCAAAAACTATTCTTTAATCAATCAATCAAAAATACTTTATAAATCCCAGAGGGAAATGGCGCTTCGTCACAGTTGCGCCATATTAGAATAAAATCAATAAATATTTGTATAAACATAGGTTGAAGTAAAGTGTGCAATAGAAGTCCCTGTAGCCACTGGGATTCAGCGTCTTGTGGTGTGTTCACACCGGACGCGATACGATTTTAGGGGGCGGCGCGATTACATGTAAAGTGGCCAGACGCGAATTCGCTCCAACGGCGCGCATGAAGCGGTTGATGCGAATGCCGCGGCGCGATTGAGGCGATTGAAGGGAGCCGTGACAAACGCTCGAGTTCAATTTTTTCAACTTGAGCGTCAAATTCGCGTGACGCGATCTCACGGTAGCCATTCAGCGCTGAGGATCACAGCCTGACGTTGAACCATAAAACCAAAACATCAGCCGTTAGCTGTTAGCACTCAGAGCTCACAGCTCCTCATATCTGTTCAGAAACTAGACAAAAGTTCAACATGAACAAACCACAGACTTTCTGTGTCATGGCGAATACAGTCGCTGGTTTATTTATGTCTGTAGGCCGTTGTTGTGAGTGTGGACGGAGCATATACAATGTTAGCTTAGCCTAATCGATCCGATCTCCATTCAGAAAACACGTATTTTAAAAGGTTTTTCGCCTGCACACTTGTCAAAGCATTAATTCATGGTTTTTACTAACCGGTATCAGTATGTTGTTACTTCGGCATCATTTTGAAACGTGTATTACAATTAAATCACGGTAAAATATGTTCATTTTGTTGTTGTTGTTGTTCTAGCCAACTGGCCAGCGAGTCTTGTTTGAATGATGCGAGTAAACACAGCTGACAGCCGCGGTGAAACTCGAGCGTTTAGAGCGATGCGATAAGAGCGATTAGAGCGAAGCGAATATTCGCATCGCGTCCGGTGTGAACGCACCATTAGGCACAGCGTCTGAAGGAACTAAATTACCCATGCAGCATCATTATTTTTAGGATTAGTTTGCCTAGCCTACAAACAACCGTAACCCCCCACACTACCTGGACACTGTTAATGTTAGCATGTGGCAACTTTGTTTAGCAGTTTAGCTGCTCAGTTGTCTGTTGTATAGCATTGATTTGAAAAACCTTTTTTGTTTATATTCAAATCAATGCGATACAACATATATATTCTAATGCTATACAACATAAATATTCTAATGCTATACAACATATATATTCTAATGCAATAAAACATATATTCGTTTTGCTTTATTAAAAGTGATGATTTTAGGAAATTGTAGTTAAACTATTGCTGTTGTAAGGACTGCTTCAGTTTGACTTTTGTCCAGGCTTCTTACTTCCATAACCCTAACATCACTGGTGCTCCTGTCCTTAAGGAAACGGATCATTTTAGCCTCTAGAATGAACATTCTACAAGATTGATGTTGTTGTGTTAATAGTTTGGTGCTGGATTCTTTCATGCTCTGGCATTGGTTCATCTTACTGTGATCCGTAGTGAAGTTTGCTCACTTCTGACATTGGCTCTAAGGTCCTTAGAGACTCCTTGTTGACATCATGTCGTTCTTGACTTCACAAGTCCCAGCTCCAATTTTATTAACTTTGGTCTTTCTTCATCAGAACCATGTGGAACAATGATGACCAGACGGGACAGGTGGCTGCCAGGATGGAGACTACTCTGGGCAGTGCGAGCATCTCCATCTCCCAGCAGCAAGCACCGAAGAAATGTGCCCCTGTGGTCGCACCTAAGCCCAAGTTCAACCCTTACAAACATGCGGGGGAGCCCACCCACTCGGACCCTGCAGGTAACACCAGGAGAAACCACTCAATCACTATCTCCACTAGCTGGAGTTAATCTTAAAGCAGTCTTCACATGATACGTTTGTTAGCTAGCTAGCTAGTTTTGTTTATATGGTTACCTCCCCTGTTTGCGTGCTCCATACAGTTGTCATCTGATTGGTTACATGTCGAAAGGTCGAAGGAAATCGAGGGCAAAGTTTAAATAATTAGAACTTTGAGCGGCTCTCTCCAGAGCAGGGCTCCTCATTGCGCGGCTCGCGAGCCTCATGCTTCGCCAAGCTTTAATTGGTGGCTCGCATGACAGTAGGCTAAATAAAGGGGTGATAGACAGGGGTGCACATAACGCAGGTACGCATGTGCGGCAAACATCTGAAATGCGTAACGTCAAATGTGTCACTAAGCGCCTTTGCTTACCTGATAGGTAATCAAAACAAAACACATATTTCGTCTACACGTGTTTCTTGTCAACACTCAGTGGAGTAAACTATTAGACATGTCCAAAAAATAAAAATCTAAAATACATTTAAGCAGCCACTTTGGCGTTTTGCTCCCTGCAATAAATCTTCGAACGTTCTTGGACTGATTGAACTGGGTGCTGGCCGAGCCGCGCAGGTCATAACCGACGGACCTGTGAAGCTTTACAGGAGGCAGGCTTAGATCACTGGACGACAGAGTTGGTGCCGTGTGCACAGACGGGGCTGCTGTTAACGTCTGTGTGTACAACAGAATTGTGCCAAAACTACGCCAACTGGCTGCGGTGGGAGACTCCCCTGTGCACATTCTGTGCACGCGCACACTGCGCAAAATCAGCTGATCGCAACGTTCACGTTCTGTGGTCAAGCTGCTGCAGTTTTATCTACAACAAGGTGGAGCAAAAACCACAGCTGCAAACTTAGGGTGTTAATGGATGAGTTTGAAATCAGACAGAGGTGGAAGAAGTACTTAGATCTTGTGTAGGAATACTCTGTTAAAGTAAAAGTCCTGCTTTCAAAATGTTACTCAAGTAAAAGTAGAAAAGTATGATCATCAAAATATAGTTAAAGTAGTGACAGTAAAAGTAGTGATTGTGCAGATTGGTCCATTTCAGAATAATATATATGTTTTATAATGATTGATCATTAAAGTATTCTCAAAGCTGGTAAAGGTGCAGCTAGTTTGAATGACTTTGTATACTGCAGGGTAGCTTGTGAATTTACTCCAGGTGGAACTAAAGTTTGATTTAACACTTGATTATATTTCACATCATTCATCCACATCTGTGAAGTAAGTAAAGATATAACATAAGTGGAGTAAAAGAACACCATGTACCTCTGAATTGTAGTGGAGTATAAGTACAAGTAACATAAAATAGAAATACTCAAGTAAAGTACAAGTATCTCAAAATTGTACCTAAGTACAGTACTTGAATAACTGTACTTAGTTACTTCCCTCCTCTGAAATCAGATATGACTTCAAGTCATGTGATCATTTCTTAGTATTTGATCCTTCAACTTGGCCTCAGGAAATGCAAGGACTTCACAGTTTTGGCAACACGTTTTTGAGACAGCAAATGGGAGGCTTAAAAAGAGACAGGGAGGTGCATCTTCATCATCTTCATCATCTACCATGCAAGAAGTGGAAATAGAGGACAGTGAAGGAGACACTGAGGAGGACAGTGAGGAAGACTGCACTTATTAACACCACGCTTCGTGTAGGGTGAGTACCAAACGCCGTCTCCTGGTACTCATCTGAGTAACTCACTAATGCCCTTTTCACACATACGCGGTTCCCGTTCTAGCTCCTCTTGTGCTCTTCTGGTTCGGAACCGTTTTTTCTTTTCAGCCCCCGTTTTGTTCACACCGCCCAGAGCCCGACTGGTGCTGCCGCGGCTGCGTCATGACGTCACCGTTTACGTCGCTGATTTTCTCCCCAACGGCGCTCACAACAACAACAATGGGGGACTGCGTCGGGTCGATGATCGTGTTGCTTTTAATCATACGAAGCCAGATTAAATTAAATAACGACTTCTCCAACCTTATACTTTTCTCCAGAGTGCCGTGGTTCATTGTTTATTAATGTGTTTCAGCGGCATTTACCGAGTGCTGCTCGTGCACCGGAGTTTATTCTCCCGTTAGCTCCGGGTTAGCTCACAGCAGCGGCCGCTGTAAAGTATTCACTGTCTGACTGTCACACAAGCAGCTGATACATATCCCCAGTTCCCCTTAAGTGAATGTGTGTCAGTCTGAATTGACGCTGTTTGGCATCACAACGCTGTTATGAAAGTTTCTCTGGTATAAAATGGGTGATGTTAGCATAGCAACCGAAGCTAAACTGACTATCTTGACTACTTGTTGTTGCTATCCTATTGTGGCATAAGCCGTTTTCTACAGGCACATTTTACCGGCTTATTTTTCATTATGATTCTACTTGTGATAGTCGGACATGACAACCTGTGCAGCCCATGTATTGATTCCATCCGATAGCTGCTATAATACAAAACAAAACGTCTGTCTCCACAATGATCAATAACAGTGAACGGATGGTCAAAGTAAGGTACAAATAAACAGAATCACACGAAGCCTGGTTAGTGTTGCCTGACTTTATAAAGTGTGTTTTTGTTTTCTAAGTGTGTGATTGCATTCTAGTCACTTTGCTCAGCACTACTGCTTGTTACAACTTTTATTTGCCGTACTCGCCTTTAACTGTTAGCTCAGGTTAATCTCGCCCCCCTCCGACGTAAGCGTGACGTATGCGGTTCTTGCTTCTAGAGCGAAAAAATGTTGGTGCTTGGTAAGCACCGGTTTTCGGTGCTTAGAGCCGGCTCCGCTGCGGTGTGAACAGGAAAAACCGGTGCTTATCAGGCTCTAGCTCCGAACCGGCCCTGGAACCGCGTTGGTGTGAAAGGGGCATAAGAAAGTTATGTGCACCCCTGCTTATTAATAATAATAATAATGCATTTATTTTATATAGCGCTTTTCCGAGTGCTCAAAGACGCTTGACATTATAGTATTGGTTGGCTGCATTGCATATTGTATGTTCTGGGTGGGATGACAGATTAATAAGCAGACATGCTTATTATAACTGTATGCAGCTTTTTATACTTTGCGGTATAAGTGGCTCTCCTATTGACTTTGTCCTATCAATGCGGCTCGCATGTAAAAAATAGTGCAGACCGTTAGCGCAGAGCTGCTTTAAATACGCTCCTGAAGGCAGCTGAGGACTGTCGTCTTCACTGTTCTGCCTGATCAGACCGGGTCCAGACTGTCCAAAATCTCTTTCATTACAAACATCTGACTTTTTCTCCATCTTTGGTTTCAGTCCCCAATCATGTTCCACTTCTTCTTAACTGAGTTATTTCTCTGAACAATGAAGTGTGCAGCTCTCCGTCAGGAACACATTGACCTGACACCTTGACCTGAGTGCTCGTGTCTTGTATTGATTGTGGGTAAAACACCAGCTTTATATGTCTTAATATTTCAGTTTAAAAGCAACTCTTTCAAACACAATTATTGAAGAATATTATGGTATTAGTTCAAGTAATACACATCACATGTAAATATTATTTGACTACATAGCAGAGCTGTTTAGCATTACTATAGAGCAATCATTTGATGTATTTATACAATCCTAAAAAGCTCATTGATATCAAATGTGACTAAAGAAGAGGGCTGGAGAACAGAATCGTATCATACCTAATGATGCTGATCACGGTCACACTGCTTCATCCATCCCTACTGTAATTATTGTTCATTGCAACACAGATCTTTTTTTTATGTTGTGGCCATTGTTTCTATAAGTACATTGGATTGTTAAGGTGTGCTCTGACTGAACAAAAAGATTCTGGTTAATTATCCTTTGAGTACGGATCGATGGTGTGTGAATTTAGTTGGCAGCTGGTCCTCTGATGGATACACATCAGTATTTTGTTAGTGGGCTGTAATCACGCTCCTTTCTTTGCCTCTGTGCACGTTTAGAGTGGAGGTTAAAGGCCTTGCATTCTTTGCACATTTGCTTCATAATTACAGTCACATATTAGCATTGTGACAGAGGCCTTGTTGCATGCCTAACTTGTCATACACATACAGAGCAGGACTGTGGTTAGCATGTGTGAGTCCAGGAAGCCTTGCATGCTTGGCTCTTTTAGGCCCCTGGGAATTGAGGGTTTGTTTTTCCTAAAAAAGGTTCTAGTGCCACAAGATATTATGCAATGAACACATTTACTGATAGTTTCTACGTGTAACTTACTGTATTTAATTAGTTGTTTTTTTCTATTGCAACAGGGTTACAGTGTGGAATTATAATCATACAAAGTTTAATCTGAGGCTGAGATGATTGAAAATAACGTAGAATACTTATAAGTATACATATCTATGTATGTTTGTATATATATATATATATTAGGGCTGGGCAAGTTAACGCATTATTATTACGTTAACGCATTCATTCATTAACAATTATTTTATCGCGCATTAACGCATTTTTTATTTACTTATTTATTATTATTATTTTGGCTCTGAATACACATACAGACAGGAGGGGGGGGGGGATGTTGATCAGTATTGGCTTAGGGTGGGCGTCATCACGCCTCTCAACCAATGAGAGCATTTTGTGGACTGGTACTGAACCCTGACATGGACACTTAACATCTCTTCAGACGGAGGAGTTGATAGAACCAGAGTTATTTGGAACAAATGCAAAGTTTTCTTATCTCTGGACTCTGAGGGGAACTTCTATAACCAACTAGATCAAATGTTATTGCCCTGACAGTGGCAAATAGCTTTGGTTTTATATTTGATTTGATCACATTAATGAATACCCCACCCCCCCGGTATGCAGTATGTTTTGTAATGTAAGACATTTTCCAAAACTCAAAGCCTCAAACCCCCCAGAGAGCCCTACATTACCAAAACAAGGAAACGGTTATGAAATGCAGCCAGCAGTGACCTGTCTGCTGATCCAGATGTTACTCTTGTTTAAAAAAAGTTCTTAGACGGCTCCTTTGAGAGCTCTGCACACCTCCAAAAGG